TCATTGGTGGCCGTCATTGATGTGCAGAAGATATTGGGAAACACGTCAGTATTACCAGAGTTTGTGTCTTACGATCGCTGCCAACAAACGCCGACCAAATCGCCGACTCGTGAGCCCACACACAGACCCACGCGTACACCACCGCCACCGCAGACCACTCGGACATCACCGCACATCTGATCCCAACGCGCGAGACAATGAATACACTGCTGTCGCGCACGAACGCCATCTTCGCGTTCACGCTGTCGGTGTTGGCGGCGCTGACACTGATCTGCGCCCTCTCGACCACATTCAAGGCCTACAACACGTCAGTGAAGGACGTGAAGATGAGTACCACGAAGAAGCTCGTGAAGAATGTGGCGGACTATAGCGCGGGACGTGAGCGCAACGACTTGGGCTTCATTTCGTTCAATTTGGACGCAGACTTCGCGCCCGCCTTCGACTGGAACACCAAACAGCTGTTCCTCTATATGACCGCTCACTACAAGACCAAAGCCAATGTCCTCAACCAAGTGGTGCTCTGGGATCACATCATACAGAGGGGTGAGCCCACTCGACTGTCCCTCAAGAACCAACACACGAAGTACTACTTCTGGGACGACGGCAATGGCCTCAAAGCCAACGACAACATCACACTCACGCTCTCCATGAATGTGATCCCCAACGCGGGACTGCTGCCCATATCGACCGTCCCGTCCATCCATTCCTTCTCCTTTCCCAACGAATACATCACTAAAAACGCGTGAATCTTATGACACCTTTTCATACAACTTATTGTCATTTTAATTGTCTTATAATTTAATAATAAATACTTGTTTTTATTTATTTGAAATAATGTATTGCTTTCGCGACTATTATTACAACTAATCTATTGATATATACAACGAGTGGTGTCTTAAGTACGGCGAGCAGTGGCCACGTCTTCCACCACCAGTCGATCGCTTTTATACAAACGGTTGATAACGGTTTGCCTGCGGATTATCTCGAGATTGCGGTGGCCGTCGGCCATCAGTGTCTCGATGGTGTTCCCATCGGTGATGCCCTTGTGTTGTCTGAACGAGTCCTTAACCCTCCGGAGCGCGTAATTGCGGTACATATAAGAGTCAAATCGATTGGATTCACGCAATAACTGCCGGTAAAGGCTTAATACACGTGAACGAGTAGCCGATGCGGTCATGGCTACTAAATAGATGACTGACCAGTGGTGCACTGGATCACATGGACCACCAAATGAATGTCAATCAAAGTATTGGTCGTTTCAAAGTGATTGTCATTTGGTTAACAAGTCATGCAATCAATGCTTTCATTGCGAGAAAAAGTTGAAACAAACCCATGAATTCAGTGCCAAAATACACACAAATAACGCAACAATTTCTCACNTCGGCCAAAGAGTATCGCTTTTGGTTGATAGCGTTGGCGCAACACCTGTCCAAAGAGAACATGGAGTGTCGGTTGCGAGAGATGTGCCAATACCTGATCGGACCGGTGTTCAAGTCGTCCAAAAGCCAATGGGACCCTAAGATATTGGGCAACGATAAGCACGATATGCTCAAAGAGGTCCTCTCCATATTAGGCACTAATATAAGACTTCAACGATTGTATACGGAGTTCAAGGAACAGTTGGAGCAGATGTTAACTCTTTAACTAATATTTTTAGACACTTTCATCATAATGACTCTTAATTTAACTGTATATGAACTGTATAGAATCACATCATTTACAATATTTATTTTCAATACATATTACATTTACCATTTCATACCTGTATAATGTGCTGTTTTTATTACCTGTTAATGTAATTAAATTTAATGACAATTGAATGAATTGTTTTGAATGAATTTGTTGAAAAGTTGTGGTCAAATATTGGGTGTCCATTGAGGGGAAGGTACAGTATCTATAAATTAATGGTTTTGTCTAAAATGTTGAAATAGTAAGTATTATTGTAACCATTTGCCCACAATTGAGCACTTATTACAGTTAATTCTGTTGATCATAAGAAACAAAATGTATTCACAATCTGTGTGTTGATTGATACCAGAGAGCTCTGTATCGGACATCAAATGCTTGGATAAAGTGAATGTTATTGCCAACAAATTAAATCTAATGAACAAAATTAGATTATCGTAAAATGTAAAGTGTAAAGTCCTGGAACAATTAGCTCAAACTTGTTGTGTGAGAAATTGTTGCGTTATTTGTGTGTATTTTGGCACTGAATTCATGGGTTTGTTTCAACTTTTTCTCGCAATGAAAGCATTGATTGCATGACTTGTTAACCAAATGACAATCACTTTGAAACGACCAATACTTTGATTGACATTCATTTGGTGGTCCATGTGATCCAGTGCACCACTGGTCAGTCATCTATTTAGTAGCCATGACCGCATCGGCTACTCGTTCACGTGTATTAAGCCTTTACCGGCAGTTATTGCGTGAATCCAATCGATTTGACTCTTATATGTACCGCAATTACGCGCTCCGGAGGGTTAAGGACTCGTTCAGACAACACAAGGGCATCACCGATGGGAACACCATCGAGACACTGATGGCCGACGGCCACCGCAATCTCGAGATAATCCGCAGGCAAACCGTTATCAACCGTTTGTATAAAAGCGATCGACTGGTGGTGGAAGACGTGGCCACTGCTCGCCGTACTTAAGACACCACTCGTTGTATATATCAATAGATTAGTTGTAATAATAGTCGCGAAAGCAATACATTATTTCAAATAAATAAAAACAAGTATTTATTATTAAATTATAAGACAATTAAAATGACAATAAGTTGTATGAAAAGGTGTCATAAGATTCACGCGTTTTTAGTGATGTATTCGTTGGGAAAGGAGAAGGAATGGATGGACGGGACGGTCGATATGGGCAGCAGTCCCGCGTTGGGGATCACATTCATGGAGAGCGTGAGTGTGATGTTGTCGTTGGCTTTGAGGCCATTGCCGTCGTCCCAGAAGTAGTACTTCGTGTGTTGGTTCTTGAGGGACAGTCGAGTGGGCTCACCCCTCTGTATGATGTGATCCCAGAGCACCACTTGGTTGAGGACATTGGCTTTGGTCTTGTAGTGAGCGGTCATATAGAGGAACAGCTGTTTGGTGTTCCAGTCGAAGGCGGGCGCGA